ACACCGTCTCTCCTCGCTACGGATCATCTGTGCCTTCCGAACGGTCTTTGACGAGGCAGCCCATGGCTGGAGTGGCACCCCTTCAGTACCTGGCGGACGAGCGGTCCACCTATAACATGGATACTCATGGCAGGGGCATCGCAGAGCCGGCGAAGAGACTGGTGCGCACGGCGTGTAAGCAGCAGAGCCTGTCAAAGTGGCAGAACCGCTGGGATCCGGCCACCAAGGGACGGTGGACCCACCAGCTCATCCCAACCATCGAGCCGTGGCTAACACGGAAACACGGGCCAGTCAATTTCTACCAGACCCAGCTCCACAGTGGCTACGGCTGCTTTCGCAGCTACCTGCACCGCTTTGGGCACGACCAGTCTGCGGAGTGCTCATGGTGCGGACGAGGAGTGGAAGAAAACGCCGCGCATGTCATCTTCTCGAGCGGCAGATTTAGCGGACAATTCATTTCTCAATCCCACTGTCACACTCAGCAGTTACACTCACAAATTATTTCTGCCTGATAACTGCCCAATGCTGTTAACAGTGCTAGAAAATACGAGAGAGAGGTGATCGTTAAAATGCCTACAAGCCAACGCGTTCGAGTTTGAGTCAAGCTAGTAGTTCACCAAATCGCAGCTTAAATGCGTGTATATGTATATGTATGCTGCTTTAGCGACCGACCGAATGATGCACCTAAACCACTAAGCAATGCTATGTGTAATGAATGTGAGTGTTAGCGAGTATCGCTGAGTGCGTGGGAGACAAGGAGAGAACACGAAACGAGAAAGAGCGAGCACGAGCACTGAACGAAAGAGCACAACAGTGCAGCTACGCAGCAAAAACGAGGAGCGTCCAGCAAGAACCGTTCGCCGTAACAAAAATTATGACGAAGATGGGCGAGGGGGGAATGATGCGCAGCGGATAGAGCTTGAGCCGCGAAACTATTGCCGTTTCTCCTTTGCTTGACGGCTCTTTTAGGAAATGTCGTTGACCACAACGTGATCACTCAATGTATAAACTAAATAACCTGCAATCTGTGTACATACATGTACCTGGCCGAATCACTTTTATTGAATATTTTATTCACAGGCCTTTTTTTACGTAGCTATAATTGCATTTTTAATGGAGTAATTGGGCACTTTGATTTACCTGTGGCACTTGTTGAGGGTTGTTTGAACACCGATGCATTCCCTCCCACAAGTTCATACCAACCAGGATTACAAACGAGGGGCACTAAAGATGTAGCGAAGTTTGAAGTCCAGCGGGCCACCAATGACAACTGCAGGACCAGCAACAGCAACGAGCGAGGGATGATATCCAATGGGGATATCCAACGAAGCGCCAAGATTTAACCAATCCAACTTCTGTCCAATCCAGAAAATCCAAGTCCACCCGATAGAGCCAAAAATGGTTATGCATCAGATCTCGGCCTCGGGTGATTGCAAATACGTTTACACATAAAAATCACCCGTGCCAACTCACTCAGCGTTGACGGATACACACTTGCATGCGCAAATATTCGCAGAGGATTTTAAATCCCTCAAGCTTTGCCTTTTTTATTCTGGCTGAGTTTATTCATGCTCGTTCGTGTTTCCGGAGTCTGTTACTTCGGCTCTGAAATGATCGTATTCATTATGAGCAAAGACGCAAATGGGTTAACTCAGCTCGTATGATTTTAGGCAAGTGAAGAAGCGGTCGACACACAGACATGTACATGTGTCCGAAGAACTCTTCAGCTGGAAATTTGCACCGTTCGGCTCTTCGGGTCTAATCCGTCGGCATCGACTTTGCATGTATGCGTGTAAACCCTTCCTCATACATCTTGGTTATGATTGTATTGTATACGAATCTGTGATTTGTGTAAGTGAGTAAGAATTGATTCAAACGAGGCGTTTGCCAGCAGAAGCTGAGTTTGTTCACTCCTCAGAATTTTTGAGTGATTCTATTGTAAGAAACCTATTTCAGGCTGGGGTAAACTCAGTCTGTCCAGGGTCGTCTACAAGAAATTTGTAGTTGATGTGGGGACTTTAGGCGAGGGACACGACCCGGCGAGGCAATGCCGTAGCCGCGCGGTGCTGGGTGTGAGTCACCAATGTCTGCCCGGTGCTCCAGGATGGATCCTGGTGAATCGGGACTCTGGAAGGTGGCTGATCCCGCTACCTGAAGCGTGTGCTTGAGGATAGCGGGACAGGCGTGGCTTGGAAACGAGGTGGGTGGGGCAGCGCGTTGTCGCGAAACCACCGCAGGCTTGAGAGGATCGGGTAGAGGCAAGACAGAGTAGTGCGTCGTCGCAAAGACTCAGAAGGGTCGGGAAAAGGCGGGGCGGAGCAGTGCGTTGTCGCAAAGGCTCAGAGGGATCGGGAGAAGGCGAGGCAGAGCAGTGCGTTGTCGCAAAGGCTCAGAAGGATCAGGAGAAGGCGAGGCAGAGCAGTGCGTTGTCGCAAAGGCTCAGAAGGATCGGGAGAAGACGAGGCAGAGCAGTGCGTTGTCGCAAAGGCTCAGAAGGATCAGGAGAAGGCGAGGCAGAGCAGTGCGTTGTCGCAAAGGCTCAGAAGGATCAGGAAAAGGGCGTTAGTAATTAGTTTGAATAAAAATGACTCGAGAGGAGTGGGCTTTGGGTATAAAATATCGTGTTTTATTCAAATTATATTTACTAATGTAGGCCCTGGCTGCACCATGTGGTTGTTACTTAAGACTTACGTATGACCAATACACGTGGAACGAAGTGGGCTGAGTTTGAAATACGCGTAGCCATGGGCAACGTTCTGCTTTCGCGGCGTGTTCGTGTGTGTCTTGTTTTTGCAAACAGATACGCGTGGTTTTTTGGATCGTGATTCGATTCTCGTGTGTCGGACCGAGTTGGGCGAGGTTACTTTATCGTTTGTTCCGGTATCGGTGCGTAGCTGGGAGTCGTGCTTCCGCGTAGTTTCGAGTTTCGATCTTAAGTGTCCGGCCGCTCAGATTTTTCTTGCCTCGAGCCCTGTTGTTTTTCGATAGCCTCATCCCGTTTTTCATCGATAGTCTCAGGGGTTGCCACCTCGTCCACCATCGGTAATATTTTGGGTATTGAAAATGGTCTAACGCCTTCAGTGGCGGGTTTAGTTGTTTACTTATTGTTACTTATAACTACTTATTAATAAAACCCCCCCCCCCTTTCTCCACGGAACGGAACAAAATGCGGATCTTGCCGTTCTTGGCCCTGTTGACCTGATACTTTTGGCCTTCATGGGTGGTGGTGAACCGAGCCCTTATCCCCGGGCATGCGGAGGTTTGGATCTCCTGGATGAGGCTTTTCGGTAGCCGTCGATCGGGGGTGGGTACGGTCCAGTCGCTTGGGGCTTCGAGCCAGTTGCTTCCATCGGCAATCTATCCGATGATGTGGGTGTCTGCTTCTTGGAGAAACTCGTTGACGTCTAGCTCGGAGCCGATGATTTGTAAGAGATCCTCTAGGTCCTCGGAGCCTAGGACCTGTTCTCCAACCAGTGAGGCGGGGCCTATGATGGTTGTCGCTGGAGTTACGGCGATTGGCTCGGCAGGTGGGTGGCTCTGCGGTATGCTCCGATCGATTGTTGTGTCTGCCTGGTGTGACCACGAGTCCTGGGGCGTTTCTGCATTGTGTGACCACGAGTCCTGAGGCGTTTCTGCCTGCTGTGACCACGAGTCCTGGGGCTCTTTTGCCGGTGGTGAAGTCAGTTTGATCCTACAAAACCGGATATTGAGGGATTGCCGGGTGGGGTTGGCATCCCACTCTTTGTCAACCTCCCATTTCTCATCAGATCTTGTGAGACTCGGGGTGGGGTAGGTTCGCCGGAACCGAGGGCCATCGTCGTCCTCCAGTGAGGATACCGACTCCCAGCTTGCGAGGTTACTCTCCGTTTTGGGACTAGTCATGGTGCGTCGCCTTTTCGGGAGTTTGGCCGTAACATCTCCGTCCAGATCCTGGGCCTCCTTGTTTTCGGTACCCGCTTCGTGAGGGGGTAGATTCACGTCCTCGCTCGTTGGATTGACGTCTGGTTCCGGTTCGACGTCTGGTCCCGGGTCGGCTGGTTCGTGTGCCGGACTGTTTCGAAGCGCTTCGGCGGGTTCCTGGAAGGTGTTAAAAAATTCCTGTACGTTGCGCCATGGTGGAATCACTACGTCCACGGTCATCCGGCAGTTCTGGGTGACTCGCATGCCCCAAGGTGTGACGATGTGGTGGTACGTTTCGGCACTCGAGACGAACTCCTGTATGTAGTAGTCGTCATCGTCGTCCTCCTGGTCGTACCAATTTCGCGGCGGTGGTACGTATGGTTCCAGCCCTGGCTCGGGACTAACGGAGCGATACATTCCTTGGCCGAGTCTGGGGTCGCGTCTACTATGGGATGTTCCCTCAGTTTCATCCGTAGTCTCAGCATATCGGGATGAACGGTAGGTGGGATACGTCGGCGGGTCCGTAGCAACATACGGTGACGCTCGTGGGGCGTAAGAGGGTGACTCCGGGGCGTAGCGTGGTGAGTCGGGGGCGTTACGTGGATTCGACGGATAGGTAGTACGCCGTGAGAACAGCGGTGGTGTGGCTGGGCGACCTATGGGTGGATCGTCTGTAGACATCGGGGATGACGTCAAGTCAACCCAAGCGGTCGGGTCACCCGCTGTTCGTCGTGGTGGTGGTGTGGCACGATGGGTCCGAAAGTGCGCTGACGTTGGGATATCGTTCTCGGTAGAACCCTCATCGGAGAACTCCATTGCTTGGTCGTCGTCTGCGAGTTCAGTATCCCGGTCGTCATCGTCAAGTTCCACGTCTCTTGGTGGAGTTTCGGAGGAGTTCTCCTCGTCCAAATCCATGTCGGCGGCTGCGGGAACTTAGTTCTGTATTAGGGAAATAGATGGATTAACTGATTCTGTCCTACTTAATATTATTGATTTCTGTGGTGCAGCCTTACAATTTTCTCCTAACGAGCTTACTAACTTACTAACGAGTGGTCACAATAGAGATACAGAGTAGGGATAATAAAGGATTATTCGGCTTACTACTCTAGTAGGGTCTGCTCGTGGTCGTTCGGGCTGGTCTGGTCTGTGATGTCCTCGTTGTCGTGGTACTGCTTGAGGTCCGCTATGTTCGCTACTCTTTGTTTCCGATTGCTCTGGTGTTGGAGTCGGACGACATTTGGTGAGATAAAGCACTTCAGTTTGTACGGACCGTCAAATTTAGGAGTCAGCTTTGCAGCGAATCCGTCGGCTGCGTTGGAGAGGTGATGTTGACGCACGAGGACCAAAGATCCGATTGTAGGGCGCCATTGTCCTCTACGTAGGTTATAGTAGCGTCCTTGTTCCTGGCTCGCATGTTGGATGTTGTAACGGACGATGGCAAATACTTCCTTGAGCTTGGTTGCTTTGGATAGAGCTGATTCCGGGGGGCTTCCAGTTCCAGGCGTGACCTCGTCGTACAAAGCGCCGGGCAAACGGGGTTCTCTACCATGTAGCAAGAAAGCTGGGCTGAAGCCGGTCGTGTCAGAGATACTGGAGTTGATGGCTAATGACATCTCGGGTAGTAGTGCGTCCCAGGTGCTTTGATGTTCCTCTACAAACTGAGCTATCATCGTTTTCACAGTCCTATTTTGCCCTTTCTGTGGGGTTTTCTTGAGGACAGTAGGGTGCTGTATGTTGGAGCGCTACTCCTGCCGACTTGAGAAAGGCCTTGAAAGATCGGCTGGTAAACTAGGTCCCATTATCGCATACGAACACCTTCGGTACTCCAATATGACTGAGGATTCGTTCCCGAAAGGTTCGTTCAAGGTTCGACCCACTTGGAAAAGGCATCAAAGAATACCAGTAGTGTGATGTTACCTTGCTTGGATCGCGGGAGCGGTCCAACGAAGTCGGCACTCAGGGTTGCAAATGGTTCTTCGGGTCTTCGGGTGAGCATCTTCCCGGCGGGTTTTTGTTGCGTGGCCCTAAACTTTTGACAACTGACGCATACTCGGACGTATCGTCTCACGTCTCGGTACATACCCGGCCAGTAGTATCTTTGTGTGAGCCTGGTGATCGTCTTCCGCACGCCGAGATGTCCGGCGGTGGGTTGGTCGTGGCATTCTCGCAGTACTCTCGAGCGACGGTCGGTGGGTACACAAAGCTTCCAAGCCACGTAATCGTCGTCGTCAGCTCCGTGCCCTATGTTGCTATAGAGTTGTCCGTTCTCTTGTGCGTAATCCGGGTATTTCTGGGGTTCGTCTTGAACTTGTTGGGTCCTGCGTTTTAGCCAGGGGCAGGCCGGATTCTCATCTTCGACCAGTGCAAGGGTTTCCAAGGGTTGTCTGGACAGTGCGTCCGCCACGACGTATTGTTTTCCTGCCCGATAATGTACATCGTATTGGTACTGCTGGAGCTCGAGTGCCCATCTCGCCACTCTGCCGTACGGGCTGTCAAGGGTATTTAGCCATTTAAGGGCGAGATGGTCGGTAATTACGTCGAATCTGTAGCCTTCGAGGTAACAACGTGGCTTCCTAATTGCCCATATGACTGCCAAACATTCTTTGTCCGTGGCCGAGTAGTTCTCTTCTGCTTTATTAAGGCGTCGACTCACATATGCTATGACCCTTTGCTTCCCTTCGATCTCCTGCGTGAGGACGGCACCTATTCCGAGGTTGCTTGCATCGGTTTAAAGTGAAAATTTTGCGTTGAAGTCAGGGCAAGCAAGTACCGGAGCGGTGGTTAATAGTTCTTTTAGTTTGTCGAATGAGTCCTGTTGTTCCCGTGTCCATGTCCATGATCGTCCCTTCTTGAGAAGTTGTGACATTGGTTTCACTACCGTAGCGAAATTTGGTACGAACCGGCGATACCACGACGCCATCCCTATACATTGCCGTAGTTCTTTGAGGGTGGCGGGTGGTCGAAGATCTTTAACCGCCGCTATTTTGTCCGGGTCGGTATGAATACCTTCCTCGCTAACCATGTGTCCTAGGTATTTTATCCGGCGTTGGAAAAACGTACATTTGTCCGCATTGATACGGAGATTAGCCTGGCGGAGGCGCGAAAAGACTTTCTGGACGTTGTGTAGGTGTTCCGCGAAATCCTTTCCAACGATCACAATGTCGTCCAAATAGGCGAACGCGAATGGTTCCATATCTGCCCCGATAACTGCGTCAAGGGTCCGTTGGAATGTGGCTGGGGCGGAGTGCAATCCACAAGGCATTACCTTCCATTGATAAAGACCCCTTCCGGGTACCGTGAAAGCGGTGGCCTCCCGGCTATCGGCAGCCATTGGTACTTGCCAATATCCGTTTTTCAGGTCTAATGTCGTTATGAAGTGAGCATTCTGGAGTCGTTCTAGGATATAGTTTATCCTTGGTAACGGGTAGGCGTCCGGAATAGAGCGTTCGTTGAGTTGTCTAAAATCCACGCACATTTGCCACTTTCCGTTTTTCTTGCGAACGAGCATGATGTGGGCACTGTGGGGACATCGTGATGGTTCGATGAGACCCTCGGCCAATAACTGATCGACTTGTTCATCTATGATGCGCATCATGGCCGGATTCCTTGGATAATATCGTTGTTTTATCGGACGACTATCCCGCATGACAATGGTGTGTTCTGCTAGGTCTGTCGTACCTTGTAGAGTTTCGAATTTTGGGAGTTCGTCGGCAAGAAATTCGCAGATGTTTTGTGCTATGTCTGGGGCCAGGGCTGTACGTCTATTTGGGGTTCGTCTTCGGCATGCGTGTTCATTTCTGTGTCGGCGGTTTCGATGGAGTGGTCGGGAAGAATTGTCGTGTCGAATGCGCTTGGGTGGTCTGGTCGGGTGAGGTACTCGGAAATGTTGGAGATGATGGGTGTAGTGGCAGCCATGATTGCTGGATACCGCTGTCCTGTGTCTCGAAGGAATATCGGCTCGACTTGTGATCCGTGTCCTAGTGTTCGTGATCGTTGTTGATATTGTCGTGCTCGTGCTCTCTGTGGGTGTTCTCGTGCTGGTGGTCTCGGTGGCCATTCTCGTGCTTGTGGTCTCTGTGGAAACCATCGTATTCCTGTTTCCTGCTGTTATCCTCGTTGTCGTGTTCTCTGTTGCTTGTGTTTGATCCTTGCTCTCTGTCGTAGCGGGGGTTTGTGTTGGTTTTCTTGCGTTTGCGGTCTCCGTGGATGGTGGCGTAGCCATGATTGTTTGTCTTCGAATTTTGTTCTCCGTTGCGGATTTCGTAGTTGGGTTCTCTGTTGTTGGTCGTTTGATTTTGTTCTCGGGTCCTTGGGCTAGTACATGGCTGGCGGAGGTCATTGGTTCGTTGTCATTGATGCAAACGCCTCGTAAATGTAGGCGAGTGGTTCCGCATTGTATTGTGGTTTCTATGGCGCACAGAAAGTCCATCCCTAGGATAACGCTCTCCACCATGCTTGGTAATACTAATAGGGGTATCCGTACCTCGTGCATATGTAGTTGAGTGGATGCGAGTAAGACTTGTGTAATGGGCCTCACTGACCCGTCGGCTAAACGGATCTGCATTAACATTCGTATCCGTAATTAATCTCTCGGCTAGAGCTTGGTTTACGAAACTTCGGGTTGCCCCTGTGTCTATAGTTGCTTCTGTGGATCTTCCTTCAATCTTTACCATCGCCACTATCCGGCCGTCATGTACGTGTAAGGGTCTTTTTGCTCTTGGGTTCTGGATGGCGTCGTTCTTGGCTGTTCCTGTCGCAGTCGAGGACGCACCTAGTTTCCCGACGTTTCTTGTTTGCAGCATTGGATAGTTCTAATGCCTCGTTTTCCGCATTCCCAACAAAATAGGATAGAACTATTTTGGCAGTTTGCCGCCAAATGGTCGGGTTCTCCGTCTTGATGTACTCGGAGGTGACTTCGCTTCTGGTGAGTTCCAGTTCCCGTTTTCGTTCCGTTCTTGAATGCTTTCAAATTCTACGGCTAATTGTGTTAGCTGGGCCAGAGTTCGAAGTTCGTGTCTCCTCCCGTATAGTTGGTATCCTGGTAGAGTATTGTCGTAAATGCGGTTGAGTTCTTGAGTCGTGTCATACCCTGCGTGGTGCATTAGGAAGCGGATCTCTATGACGAAATCCTTAAACACCGCTTGTTTTCGTGCCCGAATTTTGTCTTCAAGCTGTTCAAAATATCGAGGCGGAAGAAAAAATGTCAAAAATTCCTTTCGAAACTCTTCCCAAGAAGCGCTTTGAAGCCGGCTGGTTCGGAACCAGCGACCCGCTCTATCGGTGAGAATTTCTGCCATGGCTCGAGGTAGATGATCAATGTCGAGCCCGTATGAAAGAACGCGTTCTTCGAGCAATTCTATGAATGCTAAAGGATCATCGTGACCGTTGAATTGGATACCCCAGTGCCGGATTCTGTCCGCCATCTGGAAGGCGTGGGCGTACGAAGTGTTGCGGTGGTTCCCAGGCTCAGCGTGTCTGCTTGTTTCGTCCGTAGGATTCAGAGTTCTCCTCATGGATATCGGACTGGCTTCCGGCGACCGGTGCCTTGGTGAACCTCCCTCGGATATCAGGACGACCGGTGGTACATTGTTTTTGGCCGCCGCAGGCGGGGGAATGGGTATGCCAAGTTTGCGATCGAGGCTCTTCTTCTTTTCCTGTGATGTTTTGGCGTTTGGCTGTGGTGATTTGGAACGTCCAAGGGACTTGGAATACTGTCCTTCAAGTTCCGCCAATCGAATCCAGACGTCACGAGTTAATTTGCCTTCGACGAGCGTAGCGAAAGTCCTTCTCAGGTCATCTACGGTGCCTTCCTTGGTGAACCCGAACTCGTCGAATGCTTCGAGTTCGTCTCGGCGGCGTTGGTGTATCCATCCGGTGCCCACCCCAGGATTCTTGATCATTTCAGCAGGGTAATACTCACTCTGGTCACCGTCAGTACTTTGATCCATGCTTGGATCGTCTCGGCGGCGTTGGTGTATCCATCCGGTGCCCACCCCAGGATTCTTGATCATTTCAGCAGGGTAATACTCACTCTGGTCACCGTCAGTACTTTGATCCATGCTTGGACGTAGAGGCTCGTGCTCGGGTAGGTGTATCGGTATTTATTACTGGCTAGTGTGGTTTTCGCGCACTGGGGTTGTTATTGTGGGGGGTTTTTTTTTTTCTACTGTCTTGTCTATAATTAATATCGGGTTATTTTCTTTGCTTGCCTGTATATTGCGTGTATTGTTTTCGTGGTTCACTTATTCCAGGTCTTATTTTATCTCTGCAAGGTTCGATTTTCGGCACTGGCACTGGAAGTGCGTCGAAATTTTGTTCTGTTTAAGAGTTACACTGTATCTGCACTGCGATGATTTCTCGGACCGGCACTGTACTTGGTTCGGAAATGTTCGCAAAAAGCTGACTTGAAACACTGGGATGGCTTTTTGGACCGGCACTGTAGCGTTGTACTGCGATAGTTTTTCGTACCGACACTGTATTGTGGTACTGCGATGACTTTTCGACTGGCACTGTAGCGTTGTACTGCGATGATTTCTCGGACCGGCACTGTACTTGGTTTTCTCGCGATCTCTAATATGTGTTTGTGTGTGTGTGTGATCTTGCGGTACTTGCGAGTGTATGTTGTATTTTCGGTGTGCGGCGTGAGTTTTTTAGGGTGCGGACGTATGTT